ATTCCTCAATGGGAGCCTGTATTTTACCCCTCGGAAAGGGCATATTGGGTGGAATTGACTGTATATTTCCGTGAAGGAGAGCATGATTCGACCAGGCTTCAGAGTTCGGAGAGCTTGTAAGAGCCCGGAGGGATTTTCGTATAAACCACGAGCTTATGAGAAATGTATCGAAATAATCACGAACTGAATTTTCATATTCATGTTGTAGCCTTGAGCGCGGAAAAGGGCTTGGTAGGTAGCTTACCACGCGCTCGCTCCGGGAATCAAAATCTGGTTCGAAAGCCGTACAGCTCAATCAAGCCACCCATATCCTCCTGTTGATTAATTGGTAAAACTCTAGGGCGGAAGTGGTGTAGTGGCAAGTGGCACGCTTACCACGCGAGCGGTCCGGGGATCAAATCCTGGGTCGTGAGTCGCCCGGGCCAACCAAGCCTTCCATCCCTCCGGGGTCGGTTAATTGGTACCAGACTTGTCTGGGAGGATAAAAAACACTGACTTGTACATCGGCTGGCCCCCGCAAGTCATTGTATAGGCCACATCGCATTCAAACGCCACTACGAATGTACAAATGGAAGTAGAATGCGTGCCGCATCCCAAAAAGGGATTGATCAACGGCAAATGCTTTATCCTTTTTTATCCTTTGAGCATGTTTAGGAGGATGGAAAGATTGACTTCACATCGGTTGGCCACTAATTGTACTTGTGCAAGCCGAGTCGCATTTAAAATGCCACCATTATTATGAATGGAAGTGAAGTGCATGGCGCACTTTTAAAAGAAAGTTATCAACACAGAATTTTCTCCAGCTGTGATTTAAGATTTTTTGGCGACTATAGTTGCCGTTTTCTTATTTTGTTTCACCACCGACTTTATGCGATAACGTTAAGCCTCAGGGACTATGCCAAGCAAATTATCGAATTGTTGCATAAATTTGCAGGGTAATTCGATTTCTGCTCCAGAATAATTCGACTGTTATTCCAAATTGTTCGATTTCGCTTCAAGACGTTCTTCTCACTTTCAAAAACTCACTTTTGTAAGTGATTTGATTTGATAGGTGGTATGAGTTTGAATTAGCGTCAGCACTCGTCTACTGGTTCTTACTTAGTGCTACCCGTCTCGTTCTAGCGATTTCGACATTGTTATGATCCTCACAACCCTGCATCTCCACACCAATCATGATTGGTGTATTCCTATAGTTGTCTCGATCCTTGTACCCCCACGTTGACATCACTTGACATTTTTGTATTTACGAAATTTAGCCGGGCGAAGGGGAAGGAAGTATATTGAATTATTGTATTTCTTTTTCTCGAGGATCAAGTTTTTTGTCCTAATGGCTCACTCATTCGAAAATTCCTCGTAATGTGAGGACTTACCGGCCTGATCAGATTTCCCAAATATCGTGTCGCCTTCGGATTGGCCCCACGATCCTTTCATTCGAATGAAGTCAATCTCGTCGCCATCCCAACTGCACGTGTTCTTCTCGTTTTCCTCCATCTGCAAAGAACTGAACTCGGAAGTTACTTCGATATGTTCAAAAAACGCACGCCAGCCTTTTAAGTTTCTTTTTTGCTGATTTCTGGTAAAACCGGGAAATGTGTTTTCCGGCACTTTCAAAGATCCAGGCCAATACTGAGACCTTCTCAGTCCAGTGAATGAACAAAAAGCTTAGCTACTTTGAAAGCAGCCATAAAATTGGGATCAGTCTCCGGCTATAAAGTTTTATACGTAATAAACTCGGTCTAATTATGGACTACACAATGAATCTTCAGGAACAGGCACAGTTCGGTGCCACGAAGGCAACCACATCTCTCCTCTCCCTCCCTTCAGATATAGCATTTTTTGCAGATCTACTACTATCGTTTTTCGTTCAATTTCTCATCCCAATCCAAAAGCGCATGCCACGAAGTAGATCTTCCGCGAAGAGAGAGAGAGAAAGAGGTCTTCCGTCGAGCGAGTAAATTAGATTAGCTAAAAGAAAAGTCAGAGTAGTTTCCGGCCGTCAGAAAAAATGCGCAAAGCTGTGCTCTTCTGCGGCCGGTATTGCGCCACAGTGGCACTAGGTCGGCCACTGGGCTGCAGGTAGGCTGCAGCTTATTCGCAACGCAACGGTCTAGGCGGCGGTATGCCTGCGTCTTGCACATCTCTCTCTCGTCTACACTCTCTCTTCCGGCCCAGTGTCTCTTCTTTATAGCACTGCCCACCTCGCAAGAAAGGAAAGAACTCCCTAGACTGAGTGTTTCCAGCTTTTCTGTTTTTTTTTCTTCAAGAGTGATCCTTTTGCGGTCAACGCTTCCATTTCCAAGCGAAATACCACATTAAAACCATTGCTCATGTAATTAGCTTCACTAACCTGCATGCTTTGGTGAGGAATGAATCGAAGTCGTAACATTCCAAGTCGCAGCAAGTAGAAACCATGAACTGGCCCAGAGGCGAGGCTTAAAAGACATGTTTAAGTACGTAAAGTTGATGATGCAGCGAAAAATGTACACTTTGTCTCCCTTCTCTCACCTTGACAGTAAATACAGAATTAGCAACATAGACGTAGCACCATGTAATCAATACTATCAAAAGCGCGTGCGTGTTATCGATTTTTTTCTCAATAGATACGACAGCTATTTCACGCAATCGGTGGCACATATCACGATGGTCTTGAAAAAATCGATATCACGTGCGCTTTTCTGAGCTATTGATTCTTTGATGCTACGTATATGTCACCAAGTCTGCATTTACGACTCGTGAAAGACAAGGCGTACGAAAGTTGCACAATGCACTAAAATAAAGCTCAACATAAGTTCTTCTTACCGTACTTGTAGAAAGGAAACCATAGGTCTACATCTGTATGGCCGCCGAGGAACTCTGAATAGTACCAGTTTCTCCATAAACTTATCGTGACATCAGAAGCCGAACATTGCTTCCAAATTTTTATTTTTTACGTGATTTAATTTGTTCCCTCACGAGCCATTCCTCGTAGAAGATGCTGAGGTCATCTTCCCGTCGCGGCCTCCTTTACCCTCGCCCCCCCGTTTTATCAACATGTCGCTGTGGTATGGTACTGCTAAACATCTATCGCTCGGTTTCTAAAAACTTGCTGCAGCGTCGTTCTGACACTCCGGTAGGGTCTCCCCCAACAGGGGCCACCGCTTGTGCGCGGCGAAGCAACAGACGCAGATGCGGCAAAGAGACGAGTTGCAGCGCGTGCTGTGCGATATGAGACGTAGTGTGGTACACTCTCTTTAACCTGACGCCTAACCGCTACAGTATGCGCTGCGACTCGTCCCTTTGCCGCGTCTGCGTCTCTTGCTTCGCCGCGCGGTGGGCCTGTTGGGGGACACCCCTCCCTACATACAACCTCCAGGCGAATTTAGTGCATTTCAATCCTTGTTGTTAGATAGACTGTCCTCTAAAGAGTGCTAGGTGTTGTCTATTTTTGCAGCTTTGAGGGTAAGGGCATGAGGGGTCTTTTGCTAGAGTGAGACTGTGAGTGATTGATTACCCTTCGTCACATATAGTCTTGTTTGGTTTGTTCTGCGCTCTGTCTTTGTCTCCGCCGCCAGCTCCCTCGCCTGTTCTCTCTCCTCTGCGCTTGATGCGTCTTCATTCGAAAACTGCCCACCTCAAGAGGCCCTTAATTTAGGTATTTGCGGCAATTTCTTTCTCGGCTTTCTTAATTTTCTATTCACTTCGTACCTACACTTTCAATATCGGAGGTCCTAAACTGATAATCGGGTGTGCCTTGAGGTGTCCTTTTTCGGCCACTCCTTTTCTTCTTTCAATGGCGTCTTTTCATTTATTCATTACTATAATATTACGTCTGCGGGAAATTTACAACGTAGTATTCCTGCCTGTGTAACTTTTCCTATGATTAAGTTATTTTTGTGAAGAGGTCATGAATGATTCCACTAACTTCTCATGTCGTAAAGTTGTCTGCTGATGGTTCCCACATCGAATATAGCGTTTGTAGGGCATCCTGAACTTGAAAATTCATGAAGCACTCAACCAGAAAGTAAAGAAGAAATAAATTGAAGTAAACATAGATTACTCCTGCTTTTGTTTTCAATCAAATATATGCTTAAGTAAAAAAATCCATCGGTAAGGCGATGCGGTTATTTGAGGAAATGTCCAGTTTCTATCTTTTCAAGACCTTCTCAGGAGTTCCTTTTGCTCCATGGCTGGGTCTAGAGCAGGGTCAACCCTACGTTGGGACAAGTACCAACGGGGGGGGGGTCGTAGTTTGTTGAGTTTGTGGGGGGGGTCGTACTTGCTTCGGTTGTAAGAAATTACATGTGATGAGGGAGAGCGCGCGGGAGAAAATTTGCCGTTTCAGCGTGCGTATATACCCCCTAGAAAATGAGTAGTGGAAATATAGGGTAAAATAGAGGGAAAATGAGGGAAAAGTGAAGGGAAATATAGGGAATTTTTGCGGTTTCATGGTACCCCCCCCGCTCGACGGTTTTGAGGGAAAAAGAAGTTGTGAAGAAGGGGTCGTATGAAATCTCTCATGAAGGAGGGGGGTCGTAAAAATTTTTCAAAAAGTCCCAACGGTAGGGTTGACCCTGTCTAGAGCACCAGGTGGGGAGGACCAAAAAAAGGACCTCTTCTCAACACTATCAAACTGAATTATTCACTCTTTGCTGAACTCAAACACGATGGCTAAAAATGGAAATTGAAAATCATAATAATTTTCTACACGGGCGACATTAGAAAAATCTGTCACGGGTGTACTGTGCAAGGTTGAAGCTCAACCTTGTTCCTCGAGTCCATCTTAGGTTTCACATGTTATAGACATGATAGTACTACGAAGTAGCACATGTTGTCGAAGGACTGATATTAGGTAAATTTTCTGCGCAGGAACCGGCTAGCAAGGTGAATAAAAGAGAGGTGGAGACATCTTCGACTTATAGACGACAGCGTGACCCAGTGGTGGATCACGCCTTCGCATGGAGCAGACGCGCTTCATTTTACCATTTTTCATGGGTCGAAGCCACCTAATATAACCTCCCCTTCAAAAAGCTGGAAAGTGTCGGGGGCAGAACAAACACCACAACCGGCGACGGCTTCCAAGTAAACTTTTTAGAAGTTGTTCATAATGATGGCTGATTCCTGGTAAATGATAGTTGTAATTAGTGACAATCGGCAAAATACAACTGCGACAGGCTAATCATTCCAATGGCAGAAAACATTAACATTTTGTGAAGGCCGTCGTCA